GTTTAATATCTAAAAAGTCTGGTATCTTACGGGCCATCAAAGGAGCGCAGTAGACGAGCCTCGAGGGAAATCATTCGAGTGTAGAGATGCCCTTAGCCCTATATTGTCTGTAGCTGCCTTTATAACTGATTTATGGATACGTGTGCGGGGTTACATGTACTATGAGATATAGGGCTGGTTTACACTATGCATTGCGTGGTATATTCACGTTTATTTTATTTTAAGACGGATATACGATGCTGTCAGGATATGAAAATGAAAAGTCTAATTAATGCGTTAGTTAGATAATAGATACGAATTTAATATTAGGAATAGCAGATCGATAACTGTCTGCTCTGTATAAAATGTAAAGAGGTGTGACGTCACATGATATACTGTCGAAAGTATTTGACTCCTTTAAAAAATACATATACAATAATCATCATCGGTATTCGCAATATAATGCAAGCCAATAGTAATAAGTTCCTTAAAGTACCGTGGCCTCGGCCTTGAGTAAAGTCAAAGTTAAAACCATTTATTTCAATTAGACCACAGTGGGCACTTTTGAACGTCAAGCAAAAAAAGACAAAGAAAGTATGTTTCAAAGAGGTTTAAATTTATGCGTGTCAGTCTGTCCGTCTGTCCTCTAGTAAAGCTACTTATTTCTCGTTCCAAAGTGTAGATTCCGACGGAGAAGAACGAGCAGGCAGCAACTCAATTCTTTTTCAATCATTTTTACAATTTATTTCTTTGTTACATCATTAAGTCGGTTCAGATATGTGAGAACAGTGTAGCACTAATGTTTAGGCAAATAATTCGAAAAAGAAGTAAACCTCAAGAACACCATATTTAGACAGCCTGGAGATGACCAGTACCAATAGGCGGCGCCTGTTCACGAACACCAGTAGCGCCCAACTCAACCATATTATAGGGAATCGAGCCATCCAGTGCCCGTGCCACCCGTGCGAGTGAGCATGACAACTCCCAGCTGACACAAGTAAGTACCTATATTCTACAAGTCTAACTTCATTAAAATAGAAAGAACGGGTACGGGGAGTACCTAATCACCTTGTTTTCATTCTTCATTTTAGAATGCAATAAATGTTTTATATTCGGCCAGTTCTAAATAGGTTGGTGGTCGCGCGCTAGATATAAAGTTATCAATTATTTAGGTTAGCCACAACATTGCTAGAACTAGGTTACCTGACTGCACTAAACTAGATCACAGATACATACCTAGATATATTAAAGTTAAAATGTTTACGCTCTGAAGTAAGTGCAGCTGGAAACTGTTTTTTTTGTGAGGGGAAAATCATGAAATGGCATCCCCAGGGTAGAACGGGAGGGAGTGTCACTCTTACTGACTAAAAATCCTCATTTCTTCTCCTGCTCTGGGCCGAGGTCGCGGTGCTTCATTGCGTTTACCCCGCAACCCCGGCTTAACATCAGCCCTACAGGGTCCCGTCTGTGGTGGTCTATTGGCTCTTTGAGGCGGAGGAAATCGACATCTCTATTGTGGATCTATCTCGAAGGAACCGGGGTTCCTTCTCCAGCCAGACCGAGGCCTCGGTACATTATTACGCTTTACTCGCATTTAATCTCTAACGATTTTTCTCATGATTAGTATTCCATAAAGGCATATAACAAACAAGAACCTCTTTAGAAAAATAATTATCAATGCGCTATGCACAATTCTGGAAATTGAAATTGTCTTCTTTGTGTTATTTAAATAAAAAAATATAGGTAAAGGAACATAATTCGGGCTAATAATAAAACAAACAGTCCGTATATTAATGTACTTTTATTTTAAATAAATATAACCAATAACATTTATTACATCACAGGAGCAGGGTATCTTGAAAACACAATTCATTGCGCGGCAAACGTTTCACAGACCATAAACAAAAAGTCGGCCATTTCGAATCTATGGTCCAAACTGAAACGTTCGCGCGCTTTCCTTAAATTCAATTGACATCCCTTAAAATATAAATAAGTATAACTAAATGAATATTATACTATTTATTAACAGTACATGTATGTTGCCAACCAAACCAAAATTAATTTTAATTTTATTTCATGACAGTAAGCATTATAGGCCATATTTGTGCGTTACAAGATAATTTATTTATTAATAAAACCACCATTAAGTAACCAATGAGTAACATTAAGGTTGCATTAAATATTAAAAAATATGATGTAATAATAAAATCAATGTAGGCAAGTCATTTTTATTTTATTTTATAGTCTGTAATAACAAGTTGATTCTGTAGTCTGTAATACAATGTTCAGTTTTTAGTTTTTATTCGATGGGAATGGTCGATCGGAATTTCATTATTTATAGTTTAATTCACTATTGTTTCGTTTCGAAATTGAGAGTTCGTTTATTTATTTTTTCCATTGAATGTAAATTCATTGACAAAGTATTTTTATTGGATTGCTGTGAAATTTTATGTTGAATTTTAAAATTTCTGAATAACTTAATTGAAATATAAAACAATATTCACATATATTATTATTATTACTTCAAAAAATACAAACTGTCTATTCTATAGGTACAATTACGTTCAGATAATAATTATTATTATATTTTTGACATTTTAAATTAAATTTTGGCGCTTGAATTTAAATAAGCCGTCAAAATAGAACGAGTTTAGTATCAGTTAATTTTGTATTATAGTTTTTAAATAGCATTTACTTTTTTCAAAAATATCTAAGCCGCCAAAATGTAACTTAAAATTAAATATGAAATCTAAAGATATGCGTAACTAGAAACAGGTTAATAGTTCAATCTACAACTAAATACACTTTTTACAATCCGTAGTACGTTCAAGCGAAACTTCTAAATCGTTTTTTAAATATTTATTTTATCTATAATATTATTATGTACCTTTATTTTTTCAAAAAGTACAACCTTTTTGTATACCTGCCCACAAAAAAGAATTTATTCATTGTTTTTTAATATATTTTTTATTATGTATAGTTGTATCTACAAGTAATATGAATCATGACATTGCTTTTTCTTAAAAGTACTCTTTCAGATAATTTAGCTGGACCGACCGATACAAGCAGAACATTGATTATTGTAAAATGTTCGAGATGATTTATACCATTGTATACTTAGCCGAGCCCGAGGAGATAGCATAAATAACTTTGACGGGTCAATTGTGAACGATTACGCATATTTTCTGACTTTATATACCCCGATTGAGTTGTTTAATTTTTTTGTATTACCAGTGAATGGCTTTTGTTGTGTGATTGTATGGTTTTTGTTGAGGTTGAATGGAATAAGAAATAAATTATGATTATGGCAGTTTCTGTATAGAAAGTAGATATTAAAAGTGCTCATAAAATTTTTTTTCGAATGATTTCGTCGATTGTACTTTTTCAAAAATCAATGGTTGCTTATTATTATTTCCTTAGTAAAGCTAATAATACTGTACATACCTTAGTTAGGCGACGCATTTTGTTCAAGTTATGCCCTCAACAGCGAAGACATTACACAGAGGAAACTAAGTACTCTATACAAAATAAAAATGTTACTTTGGCAAGATCTAATATTTAAATCATTTAATTTACAGAAAATAAAAAAAAGAGAAAAATACGAACACATAGAGAGATTGATACTTTTAGCTTAAAGTGTATAAAATCTAAGCGCTAACGATATAAATTAAACATTTAACCTTAGTGATAAGTTTTATAATATAAATGAGGTACGTTAAACCATTGTGACTATGTGGTGATTCATCTTCGAATGTGTCCTACATCTAACGTGTACAATCGCGCACAACTCACGTCATCTGTCAAACTGACATGTCATGTCACGCAGAAATAACATGTCGTTTCATACAACATTATTTTGTGAGTCGGTTTTATAGCTTAATATAAAGCCAAGCACTTAATTTATTATGCCCGGTAAGAATATTTTTTATTTTTTATCTGTGAGTTTGACAGACACCGAGACGCCATGCAGCCACAGCACATAAAACAATATCAACATTAGCATTTTCAATATAATATTATAACAATTATACAAAAAATGCAAGAAATGGAACGATATAATTAAGTTTTGCCTTATTAAATTAAACTATTCAAAATAAATAATGATAATAATAATATAATAATGTACAATTTTTAACGAAATCCTAGGATGGGAAAAATTTTTATGTGTCTGTGTTTTATGATTAATGTAGAGACACACGTATTGGTTACATTATGGACTTTCTTTCATTTTATAGAAGGTTAGATTAGATGGTAAATTTATGTTTAGGGAGAGGTTAGGTTGCGTCCCAAAGGACCAGGTTTTAATTTGCCCAACCAATGTCTCTTGCATTTTTGGCATAAAAAATTGTCGTAAATAACAGTGAAACTACAGTTATCGTTATCATTAACGTTATTCCTAAATCGGACTAGGTAAACGTTCGAGTGCCTCAGGAATTAATGTTGAATAAAACGGACAGGTTTGTGATTAATATTTATAGACGGTTAGTTAATTATTTGATTGACACAAGTCTACTATAAAGAAGTTAGGATACTTAAAACTTTAAATGTTAAGATTACAGTTAGGCCTACGAGATGCAGTCACGAAAATAACTATTTTTTCGATAAGTTCGCTATTTTCATTACCCAAACACACTTAAAATTTATTAAGAGGAATAACTTCACTGTGACAACGTTCAAGCTAACACTTTACTTAACTATCAACTACATATATGTATAGGTTTGTAGCTTACGAGGTTATGGACATAACATTGGGGATTGACATAAACTATGCATAACTAGAACTCATTGCAGTTACACGAAAATGCATCGAAGAGAGATTACAATCAGTCTTATGATATATCAACATTAATTCCTGAGACAATATTATTGTAATATGAATTTATATAGACAGCACGTATATGGCAGTAACAGTTAAAACAACTACGTTTATCAATTCACGTATGTTTGCAACGACGGATTACGACGAGAACGGAGAGCTCTCATTGGTTGCTTTATCCCCACTATTCCAAGATGGCGGTCCGCTAATGGCAGTTGATCGCGCGCCGTTGAAGCCGGCGGATGCGTCGGTGCCAGTCATCGCGCCATTCCAGCAGTAGTGTCCTCTCGCCGACCGTCAGCCCTGGAAAGCCGGCTGACACGCCCTCTTTTTCCACTCCTAGGATTAGGTATGACCTGAGAGAAGAAAATTAATACTTGTTAACAAAGTGTTTTCCGAACAATGAACTATAAAAATATGGTATCCGACTTACTTGTTAATCTTGATCTTAGGGCACTTGCAGGCGAGGTCCGCGGCGCGCACGTGCAGGGCGGTGGCGCCGCGGCGCAGGCGGCTGCGCGGCGCGCGCTTGTAGACTGCCTGCACGCTCAGCGCCAGCCGAACCCACTGGTCGCCCGCCGCGCTCGCCTCGCGACCCACCACCTTGCCCATTATGACTGCACACAGAAACACCAACATGTCAATCTCAAGTATACATTCAAAATGATTCCTGACATTTATTTTGTTTATCCTAAACAGCAGAAATGGATTCTTTTTTTTTACGTAAAAAGGAATATTACCAATTCGCAAAATGCGAGACTAATTGCTGTAGGTTATTTTTTTAATTAGGACTCCTGACTCAAGATAAGAAAGTTATTGTTTTCTGGTCTTTCCTTCAGTATGCTTTCTAAGCTTGTAAAGAAAATCTTGAACATAGTGTATATACAAGATGGAGCTAACATGCACCACAAAAGAGAGAGTTTAATTAACCTGCTATGTTATGGGCAGCAGTTAAAAAACTATAATTACCTACATATTCTACTTAATGTTTTATAAAGTGAAAGTGGGTCTCAACGAGGTGCTATATTGGAAAAGCAATTAACTACTAATCACATTCGTTTTGATTGAAGATAATTTTAAGAATTTTAACAAGACCCTTTATAAATATGTATGAGCAATACCGTAATGGAACTTATAGGATAAAATCTATTGGTATTTTTGGGTCGGTACCTAATTACGGCATTAGCTAATGTAGCAGTTACATTAATTCGTTTTCAACTAAAAAAATACAAAAGAGATTGTGTAAAAGACCATCTGGAAATCCCAAAAAGGTCGGCAACGCACTCTTAACTTTTCCTTTGTTGCGGGTGTCCGGGGGGTGCTGATTGCTTACCATCAGGTAATTCGTCTTCTCGTTTACCGTAAATATGAATAATAAAGAGGTATATACATATTTACAAGCACTTACCGTAGTCTCGGCTGCAGAACTTGTTGAGATTTAGCGTGCGAGCGGCGGCGCGACATCGGCCGCATTGCTCCGTTGCTGCATATACACATCATCGTCAGCTTACTTATATAGGTACTCATTTCATTACAATCATCAATTCATAAAGAAACTATATTTATCAATATAATTAACTCGATCTTAATATTTTTAAAATTGTTTTTTTCTTCTTTATTAACTATCATCGACAATATAAAATTTATAGGACATGGAAATAATAGTTGTAGGTATTTTTTGTTATTTACGAATGATAATGAACACTTTACAATGTACAAGTAAGTATGATTGATGTTAAATAACAGGTAGTGATTAAAATAATGTTAATTTGAAAGTTTTACCTCTCAGTCGGCACTGACAAAATAAAACAAAAAAGAGTTATGAGTTCGACAGTGGATGACACGGAATAAGCTTGAAATGAACATTTTAAGATTCACAAGACGTCACATATTCATTCTCACACTACTGATAAGTTGAACTGAGGGAGATATTATTATTCTGACCGATCATATATAGTGGTAGAAAATTGGTCCTTTTGAACCAGTTTTCTATCTAACTATTTTGGTCCTTATTTTGACGAAATATAGTCAAATTACTAGGCATTCAAAGTATCGAATAGGCACTTATCGTGATATTTAAAATTACTGAATTACTTACTGTTAGAAATCTTGTTTTCGAATGGAATTAGTCATGTGGTGTGAGAATGGAGAATCAGTAATAACTTACTGCCTTTCGATTACTTTTACGACAAGCTAATGTTGCAAAGTAATTCAATCAATTAGCGTACGGCGTAATTTATTAGTCTGGTATCAATTGACACCTCGTAAAGCACTCTGAGTATTTATTTACTCGTCGCCCTTGCAACAAAGTAACGCACTTATCAAAAGGCAGTAAGATATAAATAAAATTAAAGTGCAAATTAATAATAAACTGGAGCGATGCTGTACTTTTAACTCAAATTATTAAAGTGAATAGAAAATTGTATTCAAAATACCCCAATGTTTCTCATTGTGTAATTTAGGGAAAACATGTTTTATTAATTGTTGTCCGGCACCGATGTTTGTGCAACTGCCAGCCATGTAACTTTTCTCGGCTTTGATTCCCGCCCGGAATAATTCACAAATTGTTGTTTCGGGTCTGGGTAAGATGTGTATGTCAATTTGTACGTTTCAAACGCACCCGAATGTTTAAAAAAACTGGGTAGTCAATAGAATATTTTATGTGTCAATTTTAATGTTCCAATCATCGTAAAATAATAATTGAAAATGAGAAAACTACGTTATTTCGCTGCAATTACCACAAACCGCAGAACAGATTGCTTTTCCATTTTTCTATTTAAAGTACAGTAAGCTCCTCATCACAGACACTCAATCACTTTATTATTGAAAATAAATTTTATACACTATAACTGCTAATATGCCAATTCAAAAAACATATTTGGTCCTTCTTGGTCCTTCGATACGCGATTTAATTTACCTTTTTCTAGAAGGTACTTTTGAAATATATATTATTATGTCCTCCGTTCTATTGTCTAATGACTGAGTGTTTGTGGTCATGCAAGTGTGTGTGAGGCGAGAGTGCATGAAGGTACACTTACTACTTACCGCGGCCCGGGTCACCGTCCACTGCCTCCATTGCTTGCACTGCTGTCACCACGCGAGGGATACCTAAGGAACAACATCTCGAGTATAGTAACGATATTAAGTGACCGGTTTGCTATGTTTTTATAATAACTGTCGTGAGACATACTAAATTAACTAAAAATCGCGGTTCTTCCGCGCACGCTGCTCATGAGGAAGAACCCCTCTGTGGTTCGAAACTAGTAGAGCTTTTCTCAATATACACACGTGAGTAACCCGCGATTTTTAGTTAATATAAAGTGACCCTTTAGAAATATGTTTATAGTACTGCTTAAAATGTTTTATTATATTTAAAGGAATAACGATAGAGTTGATTAATAGCTATTTTTCGTACGAATACTCCACGCTTTGAAATCTGCAGTTTGAAAGTTCACGCTATTTGCAGTTTAAAAAAACAAAATAGAATTATCAATAGTTAAATTTTGACATTTCGAAATCGCTTGGTTATGGATGTATTTTTCGACAAAATATTTTAATTTATATTTCTCTTTGTTTGTTTTGTCTTACTGATAGGTAAACTCTACAAGATACCTATTTGACTGGCTAACTATAGATGCCCTAAACAAAGTACTTAACAGAGCACCAAAGAACAATCAAAGTTTTAAGTTTAAACCACAAACAAAAGCACAGCAAGTAACAAGTATTCGAGTCCATTACAGGAACAGTTCAACAATCCGACAAGTTGTTACATTGTGTCGGCATTGCAAAGTCGCCTATACCACATTTAGGCACCTATTCCCAGTTACGACTGTTGTAAAGTAATGGTGAAGTTGTTTAGTGCTAACATTCCCGATACCTTGCCTTTAAGTGACTTTTAATGCGTGGGAGAGAGGCCAGGTGCGAACCTTGGATGTTTCTTGGTTCACACCTAACCAAGGATAGTGCGAATATATCGATCCTCATGAATAATGGATTTACGTAATTGAAGCTAAGTTGTTTTAGTGACTTAAATTTTTACTCTCACTTTAAATTTTTTACAGTAGGTTTTTGTTTGAAAAATCTGTTGACTTTATGATTTGTAAGTATAAAATATTTCCATAACCCTCGTCAGTCGAAATTAGACTCTAAAATACGAACCAAAAATATTAGGTACATGTCAGTTCCTAAAATTCGTTGGTAGGAATGACGAGTGCGGTTTTGGAAATGCGACCCCTTTACCTTAATATAATTTTTAATTGAAATTGACACATTTTTTTTCAACTTGTTTTCCTGGAACAAACTCTGAAAATCTTACGTATACAAGGCGCGATGTGGCTGCGGGACTGCTGGTATCCTTTGGCGCAGCGGTTGCAGGTGGTGCCGGTGACTCCGTCCTTGCAGGGGCATTGTCCGCTGGTCTGGTTGCAGGTCTTGCCACTCGCTCCGACGGGATGGCAGTCACAGGCTGGTGAAGAAAACGACAGTTACAAATAATCAAATTGGTAAGAGTAAAATAATTTATGATAAAACGAGAAATCTTCACGCTTTCAATTTGCAGGTATTTTCTTCAACCAAGTTTTAAGTCACTGTTGAATTCGAGGCAGCAAATCATAGTGGCATACAATCGTGGTAAAACCATAGTATAAAAATGGGAAACTATTGTGTAAATTGTTAATGATTGATGTTTAATCGTAGTAGTGACGGTAAGAAATTGGTCAATAGATAAGAAAGAAGTTTGTTATTTATTTATTTAGTTTAGGAAACAAATATCTTATTTAACTATGGAGACAATGACGTGACGTAAAACTAGTTCGGAACCTGTTTCAGTCGTCGCGTCGTGTCGATTGAATTTTTTCGTCGTCTGTCGAACGGCAGTGCGACATCTATAATTGAATTCCAATTTTTGCATTCGGAAAAGTCTCTCGAACATTGAGTGAAGTAACTCGTATTGACATTCGGTTCTAGTATCCAAAACGATATTATCTACCTACAGGCGGCATTTCATAATAATTTAATTAATATTTATTATTTAACTAGCTACTCTCGCGCGGTTTCACCCCCTTCTCGGCTCCTACAGACCTTAGCGTGATGTTTTATAGCTTCTAACCTTCCCCGATAAATGGACTAACGAACACATAAAGAGTTTTTCAATTCGAACCAGTAGTTGCGGAGATTAGCGCGTTCAAACAAACAAACAAACTCTTCAACTTCATAATATTTTTATATTATAAAAATATATTATTTATGTAATAATAGTTGTATTTACAAACAACAATGCACAAAGGTAGGTTTAGTCTATTGAAACAACATAAGCAAACTCTTTACTATTACCCTACTTAAATACCAAAACGAGGAAGAAAAAATGTAATACAATAACTTTACTGACCGAACTCGTATCTCGAAGATGCGGTTCACAAAGTAAGGAAAAGAAAACTTCATTTCTTTCTTTGTTATTACATTTTTTCTCAAAGTAAGTCTGTTGTCGGGAAATAACGAAGTCTTAAGTTCTTAACACAGTTGTCTTGGCAGCAAGTTTGCGTTGTTTACCAAGTAAATTAGCTCGAGTGTATTTACTGGCTGTTCCTATTACTTCGTAGCTTCGTAGTTTGAACTTAGTTGGACTTTTTGGACTAATATTTGTGCATCTGGTTGTGATGGGAACTGGCTTAATCAAGTGTGTAAGAAAGAGTATTTGGGTCGTGTTTACTTGACTCCTTTATTGATATATATATGAAAGAACTTTAAAACGAAATAAACTAAAAATATAAATCCACAACGTATAATTAAGTGTGGGAGTGCCATGCTTCAGCACGAATGGGTCGGCTCGAATGGAGTGATACCACGGCCTCACAGAATGAATAAATCAACCACAGCCTTGTGTTTCGCCATGTGATTTAGGTTACCGGAGGCCCAATCGCTCCCCAATCCTTAAATCTCCAAAATCCTAATCCCTAAAAGGTCGGCAACGCACTCGTCACTCCTCCGCTGCTGGTGTCTATGGGTGGCGTGATTGCTTACCATCAGGTAATCCGTAAGACAACGCTAGTCCAAGTATTCTGACAATACTACGTAAGAGAACTTTCAACATAATTGGTTCGTTCAGTGTAAATGCAATTTAGTGCACAGCGCACACATTACGTCGCAATCAAGGGAACACTAGAAATAAAAGCTAAGTATAAACACCATTTTACACAATCACGTTTTATTTGCCCGGCAACGACTTTATAGCAGTGGCCCACAACATTGAGTACTTTTATTTGAACGTGGTCGCTTTAATCAGTAAATATCGCAATCCCAGTACCATTTCCTATGCCATAAAGGCTTAGATCTTAATTAATCGTGAAGTGTTAAGTAATATTTCTCTTGTTACCTAAGTACCCGCCATAACTTATTGGTATACGTGGAACAATTGATTTAACAATAATATTTTGTCTTCAAAACAAAATTACGCTCGAATTCGTAAAATTGCGGGTCCTTTAAATCACAATCGATGATCGAAACTATTACAAACAGAATTCGTTTTATTGTGCGTTATGATTTGTTATCGGACATAAATCGATTTAGTTGATTTCATTCGATAATCGGAATCTCCCGGGTGTGTCGTAGAATTCTGAACTCAATTACCCGGATGCGTTTGGTTGAGGGAAAGTGTCGAGTTGTGCGTTGACCTCGCGTCCATTTTATAGCGGTCCGGGAACTCTTGGTTATATGACAGGGAATTGCGATCGGAAATAATGTTGGCAATTGTATCGGTTGTACGACCCAATGTTTGTATTCTAAGAACTGAGAAAGGTTTCTGGAGCAATGTTTTCGGAAAATTGTTTGAATTGCTCGGATGATAGGATTTCTTTTGATTGGTTAGAAAGGAACTGTTCTTCGATTTACAACATAACTAATTCATTTTCATTGTCCTTGTCCTTATAACTATTTTATTTGTTTTTTATGTATTTATACATTATAAATAACGCGTTTGTCTTCGCAATACTGTGATTAAACAATCCGAAAGTTATTGAAAGGTATCTAGTAACCAGTAACATCACTTCCGTACCATTTGTCCACTAGAATTAACCCGTCCGCGCTGCGGCTATTTCATGTTTCCCCGTCGACTTAACAACTTAACCCAACTAGCTGACGTAACAATAGTACTTAAGAGTACCCATTTCCATACCCCAATCTTGACTCAATCAGCGAAAAACCTACCACGGCCGTCAAATAAAACTGAAGCGCCCCCAAGGACCAATTGGACCCGAAGGACCAACTCGATTTTCGGCCAATTTTATGAGAAAACTATTGTATCCGCGACCGCGGGGTCGAAGAGACCGGCACGCATTTACTTTTGGATTTTACGACGTCACGCCTTTTTGTTTTGCTATTTCGATTTCTTGGGATCCGAATGGGCTTACGTTGGATAGGGTTAAATGTTTGTGTAGTTGATATTGGGTGCCACTCGGTAAATAGTTTTGAAGATGAAGGTGAAGATAATATAAAGTCGGGGTCCCTTTTCCAACTTGGCGATATCCGAAAGAAAAACTAACAGGGGTTGTAATCATATTTTGTAAGAAAAACATTCATGGAAAAGAAAACTAAAGCAATAATACAACAACAACATAAAATTGTATTCTTTGTAAGAAATACTGATCGAACCCTAGTTTCATAAGAATAATTTGTGTGAACAGAAAAAACTATGACTCTCTTTTTAAACTAATAATCACACAACAAACAACGATAAAAACTATATCATTAAAAAAAAAAACGAAAAACTAACACAAGGAATATAAAAAGGTGATAATCCCGAATTGATGCGGCATTTTACAATTATAACGTTAAACTCAGTTTAACTAAACCCGACTATTCGTATTTGTATGTGTACCGTGTCTATTTGAACGTAGATAGTTAGATTATATCTGTTTGTTTGTCTGTCCGTGGACAGGTGTAAACGGTTATCGTCAGTTTAATTTATACTTATCTTTGGAGCTTAAAATATTACGGTTTAACATTAAATGTAATGTTACATTACAGTTAAAACGCTTTTAAATGTTGTTATAAGCATTTCAACTGAACATATTTTGTAGCTTGTATGTTAGTAAAAGTCGGGTAAGCGTGGGTATTAAAAGTTATGATGTTTTTTTTATGCATCAATCTGTTTATCTGGCTGGCTTTTCCGGAAATAGTAAGCATAGTTGGTACGTTATTTACTTTTTATATGTAATAGGTCGGCAAACGAGCACATTACCTGATGGTAAGCAATGAACGCCGCCCATGGACACCCGCAACGGAGTAGTTACAAGTGCGTTGCGGACCTTTTATGGATTAGGATTTTGGAGATCTAGGGATTGGGGAGGAATCGGGAGAGGGGAAGGATTGGGCCTCCGGTAACCTCACTCACATGGCGAAACACAAAGTTGTGGTTGGTTGTTTTACTAAGCCGGTTTTCTGTGAGGCCGTGGTATCACTCCGGTCGAGCCGACTCATTCGTACCGAAGTACGGCTCTACCCCACTTAGGTTGCATGACAAGCGAAAATAATATGTACTAATTTAGAAACTCGGTAATAAAAGTTAAACCAAGCTTATGAACGATGTGAACGCGAAAAATGTTTGCATCGTAACTTCTCCGTTGTTGTGGATGTCCATGGGCGGCGCTGATAGCTTACCATCAAGTAATCCGTTTGCTCGTTTGCCGACCTTTACCATAAAAAACCTGAACTCTGAACTGAAGTTTTGTAGCATAATAACATTTTTTATGATAACCACTACAGTAACACTTTTCTGAATGGTTCTATTATATTCAAGTTCTTCATAACGCTTCAAATATATACATTTGAGTTCAACTCAGAATAGGTTGTGTAGCAGCTTATTAAGAAACAATTTCACGGTCTACGAACTTGGGAAAATTACATTAACGTCGCAGATTGGAGATGCAAAAATTAAATCTAGGATGGGATAGTAGAATAGATTAGATTGATCCTCATTTAAAATCTATATCTATACTAATATTATTAATGCGAAAGTAACTCTGTCTGTCTGTCTGTCTTTTCATCACGCCTAAACTACTGAACCAATTGCTGTGAAATTTGGTACTCGAGAGTGGTTTTGGAACTCGAGAAAGGACATAGAATAGTTGTTATCAAACTAAAAATCTGCAGGAAGTTACTATTCCATCCGAACAAAGTGCAAAAGCAAGCAAAGGTAAGTATAAGAATATTTCTTGCTGACACATTTTCTTCTCCATGATATTTTAGTGAAGTACAAAAAGTTATGTAGACTTTTAGAGAGATATTCTAAATATTTTTTTTATTTCAAATTGGTTTGATATCGGTGTTGCATTTTACACTAGGCTACTACAGATGGGGCACTATAGAAGGAACGGGGAGGTTCTTAGTCATTAAGAATCTCTCTCGAAAAAACACCCTACTTAAAGAGGAACGTTATGACCATCAAAATAAGTATCATTATTTATTAGAAAACTTAGCAAGTACATTAGAAATCCTTGAAAAAATATGTGAAATTCTCGTGGGAAGCCATAGATACTATAATAGCAAAGAATGACTTGTGTATACTTACGTTTGCAAGCCTTCTTATGAGTGATTGGTTTGGTGGGGTCCCTGTAGTATCCCTCGCGGCAGTAATGGCAGTGTCTGCCGGCGGTGTAGTGCCGGCACTTCAGGCACACGCCCCCGGATGCCCTGCCGGACAGCTTGTACAGCTCCATGTTGAACCGGCAGCGACGCGCGTGTCCATTGCAGTTGCATTCTGTGGACAAGAAGGAAATTGGTCAGGCATTTGACAGTACCAATTCTAAATCAACCAGGTGCTAGAAAGCGTACAGAACTTGTTGACATTACTAAATTTATTGGATGCAATCATCTACTTGAGTGAATTAACTGGGAAAACTTATTATTTAATGGTATTTGTCGGCAAACGAGCAGACGGATTACCTGATGGTAAGCTATCAGCGCCGCCCATAGACACCCGCAACACCAAAGGTGTTACGAGTGCGTTGCCGGCCTTTTGAGGATAGGGGTTGCGGATATAAAGATTTGGAAGGGATAGGGGAAGGGGATTGGGCCTCCGGTAACCTCACTCACACGGCGAAACACAACGCTGTGTGTTGTTTCACGCCGGTATTCTGTGAGGCCGTGGTATCACTCCGGTCGAGCCGACCCATTCGTGTCGAAGCTTGACTCACACTATTTCTTTTACACTATTAATTTATTTAACACTTTATGTACATTTAAAATGCAAAGGCGGACTTAATGCCCAAAGGTATTCTCTACCAGTCAACCGAAAACTTCTAGTTACAAGTCAGAACGAGACTCGTATTGTATTGAAATTAGGTTAAAACCCGCTTCCGTGGCCATGGTTTTAACAAAAAAAAAGTAATTTTGTTATCGTTCAAGGTAAGAAAAATCCACCATAAAATTAAACATCAATCGAATACAAAGTCCACATCTTATTTTGAAAATTCTCGTGTCACCATGTTAGTTTACCTTTCCTTCGAAACGGCTTTAGTGATTTTTACCAAATTTTATATGCATATTTAATAGGTCCGAGAATCAGACTGACTATTTTTATACCACTAAGTGATAAGGGTTGTCAACCTTGAATTTTATTTTTTAAATAATTAATATGGCGAAACAAGATTTGCTGGGTCAGCTAGTTATTCATAAAATCATAACATATACATCATTATAACATACACAAGTTACATTTAAATAACATATATTACCTCCACCAAAATAAACAACTGTTCTACAAATCTGCCTACTACTTATAGCCCTTGCATTGGCTACCCACACTATCTAGCTACTGTATTACCAGTTCTAGACAAATGCACCCCAGTATCTACATCTATGTCTGTCTGTCCGTAATACCCTGGACCTCAAGTTTAGTACTTGGGCATTAGCGCGGTGACGAATAACACCATTAACCGACCGCGGCGAATCCAAGGAGGTAAATGTATTCCGATTAATTATTGGCCACAGACATTCATTGCAGTTTAGATATATTTATCGTACTTGTTTGTGGTTAGATAGTTACGAATGGGTTTTTAAGGATTTGTGGAGGATAGAGATAGATCTTGGAAGGTATCAATTTTGGAATACGCGAGTATTGACACCGCTAGGAATATACAGTAGTAGCAAATACCTAGAACCTGAGTGAGTTTGAAGTATTTTTTTATACATATAGCGTATGTTTTTTGTATAATAAAGCTGTGACTGTGGAGTAAATTAATTACAACCTAATATTAAATGCTTGTACACGTTAGCAACTCTATAAACGCAAACACGTACCAAGGAACACACACAGACAAATAATGAGATTTATAATATATGTCAGCATTTTGTCATATGTTGACATACACATCATCGTTCCCATCCAACTACAAAGGGGAGCTGGGTATTTTTCTAACAGCGCCATCTGTTAAACGTAATAGCAAACCACGGATCGACCGCTGACAGGTTTATGTTGGGGGCGGCGCACGCGCAGACTTACGATCACTTGTAATGGCATTAATGACTGTTATGTCTTTTGCGTTATGTTTTAAAAAAATACGTTTTACTTTGTAATCGTGTTTTATCATCAAATACTTGGCAATATTGGAATGGTTACATAAAATGTTTATAAACACTTTCATATTTTAATTCTGATACCAAGAAATCAGTGTTCATGCCTTCTAATTTAAAATAGATCTAGATAACATTAATCTGCAATCCTGGCATCGGCTCCGATTGTTCTAGGAACGTTCCCAAAAGATCCTGGATACAGGCGCCGCCACCGGTGGTAATTGTCATAGACCTACGTCTAGGGTATAATCGCAACGACCTGGATACACCGCGTGCCAAGAATGTGTCGTAACGATCCAAAGGATTATAGGCATTAGCATACTTAATACAAGCCACAATATTGCGTGTTTAGGCCTACTATTGTCATCGTGCAAAATGTTAACGAGCTTTATGTCAATCGTCGTTTAGTTAAACTAATTTCTCTGTTCCAATGAGACAATACAAGTAAAGCAAATAAATATCTCCTCGTATGCAAGACAACTAACATTGTTGTTAAAGAAGTAGCCTCATCCGTGTACTGGAATTAAAGAAATCCCATTAGAAAAAGTGCAGTACTAACAAGGTAGCAACTTCAAAGAAATACAAAGGAAAAAAACACAAGCCGATCAGTTTTTCCGATCAACGGAAATTAAAGCGCGGAGAAAACGCCGCACCGGTTGAAACTAATCGTGAAGTGGTTCGCGTCTTGATTGGAGCACGTACCGGCCAATAAGAAGCGTTCAAAGTAAATTAATTAGAGAGCCAACTGATTGGCCGTCGTCGGTCGGCCGGACACGGGGGCACGTGACCGGATGCCGGACGTGAGCGGCCGTATCCGACGCTACTTTCGCGACAATACGGACGCGCGTGATGGAGAATAAAGGAGAAATGTAAAAGAAATGCTGACGAGGTGCTAACTGTACATGGACGATATTGTTCGGATTTATTTTCGTTCGGTAGCGGTAATGTTGTTAATGCTGTCATTCTGTAGTTGAGACGTGAGGCTTTGAATGTTAAAGACTTGATGTTTCAACCTTATCTCGACTTTTTTTTTTCTTTTAGGGAAGCATGATGCTTGTTATGAGTGTAAGTCGGGGAACAGCGAAATTTATTGTGAAACTGATTGAGAAAGAGTAACCATAGCGTTTCTTGCTCGTTCTTCTCCATAAGAATTTTTATTTTATAACGAGAAAATAGCTGTGAAGCTATACTGTTGGTCTGTTTTATAGTGATAGAGGACAGGCCAATAGATTGACACACAAAATTGACCTTTTTTTGACTCTCAAAAATGCCTAAAGTGGTCTACTTGAAATAAAAGATTTCACTTTTGACTTTTTGATAGTCGTTGTAAACGTATCTATAAGTCCAAGCATCTCACCTTCAAGACCAAATCCAGTATTACAATGATTCTTATCATGTCATAAATCCAAGTTTAATTTTGTATCTACCTAAATCCTTAGTAGGGTTCTAAGCAAAAGGTCTGTTCGCGACTTACTACTTGAATTAGTTTGTTCATAATTTATTAGTTAAAACAGTGATAAATGGCGCAGCCGGCAACTTGGGTAGCCAACACAATAATCTATTTCCTTGCCTTAATTTATAGCACTTTTACTTGACTGTAAGGCCCTAGGACAGTTGGGTCAGTTTCATTTCTTACTATCTTCAATGTAAGTTACAGGGCTACTGTTAAATTGATCTTAATACAAGACATAATAAAGTTTAATTTAAACAAAAAAGTTTTAAAAATCGGTAGCTGGAAAAAGGAATGTTTATAACATCAAGATGACTGTAACTTTTGGTGCGATGGCTGGGTAACTGGCTGCTGTGCAACGTGTCGAGGGTTCAATTTCCGCCCGGAACAAGTCTTTGTGTGATCCACAAATTGTTGTTCCGGGTCTGGGTGTCATTTGTATGTCAAATTGTATGTTTGAATCCGCACCCACGACACAGGACAGGAGAAAAGTCAAAGTGTGGGGACAAAGTTGTTTTTTTTCTCTTCTTCTTCTAGACTTTAGTTTCGATTATTAGCAATGATCTCCTTAGCTCCTTCAACAACATGTTAGTTGTTATAAAATTACCATTAACATAACTTATTATGTTTAGCCATGTGTCTAAGGTTACCGGAGACCCACTCCTCAGATCCCAAACCCTTAAAAGGTTGTCGAGACACTTGTAGCTATTGTAGTGTTGAAAATGTCAATGGGCGGCGCCGATTGCTTACCATCAAGTGATCTATTTACTAATATGCGTTTAAAACCAAAATGTTCCAAACTTAAGGAAAAAAAACAGTTCACTCTATCACTTAAACCTTGAAAAAGGCCAAAAAGTCACTTCCAAACAACAAGAACCCTTTCCGAAACATTAAGCCTCCATGTCACCGACACTATTTACCTAAGTACTGTATGTAGTGACGTCACGATTAGACTACATAAATCACGCGGGCCCGCCTGCGTTACAGTTTCTTTTGTCACAAACTAACGATCACGGCTAATGGACGGTAAACTGGACTTTCATAGACCACTGTATAGCTTGTGTTTTATATTATATTGTGAGTTACATTGGTTATGAGTGTTCGTGAAAAATTTTAGGTATTTTTTTTATATAAAACTATTGAAATTTGTTGAATTTGATTTTCTTTATAAGTTACAAGATAGCTTGAATGTATTTGATGAATTCTTTTGGTGTTTCTTTTCTGTGATACGACAGCAAACGATGCACGCTAACGGAATGGCTAATGTTAAGCAATTAGCGTTGCTCAGCCTTTTGGAGATAGGGAGGGGGTTTAGAGGTTTAACCGATGATTTCTGGAGGCCGTAATATCATTCCGGTCGAGCCGACAAAGGTGCAGTTTGGCTTTTCATTCTTAAAAATATTAAATTAAACTCTTTATATTCATCATTATTCATTATTTCTTTTATCTATTACTTTTCTCGCCAAATATTTTCGCCAAAAGCGCTTAACTTATCTTAACGCATTTCACTGTCCCTCCTGAATAAAAAACAGACGCCACCATCCTACTCTAAACTTTACACTTTTCCGAATAGAGTTCAAACTTCTTCCAACGAACACCTCATACGTAATAACGATCAATTAGGCAAAACGCTTCAATGATCAATTAATTTAAGCGTCAGATTCGCTCAGCACATATTAATACAATTTATACGTTCCCATCAGCGCTAAAAGTGTCTAAACTGAACTTTAGTAACAGAATTAAGTCGCACAGGGGTGGCAAATTGCTACACTCGCGATAACAACTTTATTAATTTGATTAATCCCGGCTCATAGACATATGGGCTTGATAGCTCGAAGGTGGTACACCCCTGTCACATGTCTGTCCCCTTAAATATTGTCTGCAGAAGTTCAATAAAAACTTTTATTTAATTTTTGGGCGTTACTTTTTTTAAACTTTGACAATCAAAATGGGTAATGGTAGGTCAATACCAGGAAACTAATGGAGAGATT